AAAAAAAAAAAAAAGAATCCAGACCCATCCTAAACCTCTCGTCCAATTAGCATTCACAACCCTACCTCTTTGTCCCAGTCAGAGCAACCAATCAGAATAGGATCATTCAATTTCCCCACCAGTTTGTTTCAAGCCTCCCCCTCCACATCCAACTATACAACCTGTCCCTGTCCCACTCATATCAAGCAGGACCAGGACCCTGCCATCTTTGGGCTTAACATCCACTCATGAACAATCGTAAATTAACATGAACCAATCACAGTTTTCTCTCTATTCATGGTTTCCAGCTTCCAAATGCATATCCACATTGTACCCCTTTCCTTACTCACTCCTATTCTCTTACCAGTGAAGAAAGAGCCTACTGCATAGTTCCTACTTTTATTTGACAATAACAAACTGTATATAAAAAGGAAAAAGGAAGGCGGGAGGCCCTGTATTTCCCACTCTTTGCTTCCTTAAACATCCTCCACCCCTAGGCTCCAGCAGGGACCACCCTCTTCCCGTCTTATAGTGGGGTGGGGATTAACAGGCATGGAAATGGTGTGTGTGTGCACATGTGTATGTTGGAGTGTTAAGGATGGAGAAGGGTCAAGGAATAGAGAGAGAGCCTTCCCTCATTCCCCATCAGAGCTGGCACCCTGAGAGAGGTCTTGAGGGAGCTGTGAAGGTCCACAGATGTGCCTCAGCCTATGAGGCGGTAGAAGATCCAGCATCCAAAAGTGACCCAGTGACTGGCCCAGCTGAGCTCTGACCACTTGTGGACAGTGTATGCCATGCCGTAGCCCTGTGGGAGAGAAAGAGATGATGGTCCCACTCAGCAAGGATGAAGGTCTCAGGAAAACCTATCCTTTGCACAAGGACATTTCTGTGACTACATGGTAACCCTAGGTGAAGCCTTATAGAAGAGCCTGGGTACTTATGAAAAGGTGACCAGATATAGCTTTTGTTTTATTCTTTAAAAATCATTTTTAGGGTGGCACCTGTGGCTCAAAGGAGTAGGGCGCCGGCCCCATATACTGGAGGCGGCAGGTTCAAACCCAGCCCCAGTTAAAAACTGCAAAAAAAAAGTAGTAAAAATCATTTTTAAAATCAGGACAAGGCAATCCCATGCTCCAAACTGTAGTCTCCCTTATATGTAAAGAGCAACTAGAAATCAATTTAAAAAAATTCCAAAGTAGGCCATTCCAGTAAAAGAAAAACAAATGGCTCTTAAACATATGAACATATGCTCAGCCTCATTCATAATCTTCCTCTTATTGAACTAGCAAACATAGCCAGGAACTTTGAGAGGCACTTTGTTTTGGGAGCAATAGGCAAGTTCACATATTGCTGGAGAGAGGGCAAAAAGGTAAACTACTCCATTGAGAATTGACACTATCAGCTCGGCACCTGTGGCTCAAGTGGCTAAGGCGCCAGCTACATACACCTAAGGT